GATGCTCCCTTTAGGAGATGCACAAGTTTCAGTGTGTTGCAAGAGTATCAGTTCTCTGTAATAACTTCCCTGAAACTGAACTGTCAAGAGCTACCTGGCTTTGTAAGTCTGAACTGAACTGTTTCAGTTACTGCTGTCCAGGAAGGCTTTCTTTGCAGTGTAGATGTTCTATTTTAAGTTCAGATTCTTTCATATTACACCGTGATGCTCTGGGAAAGGGGGACCTGCTCCTCCTTCATGCATAAACCAGACTAGGCCAGAGAAACATGCAGCAGGGAATAGTCTTCTACTGACAGAGGTGTGGAATTGGACATGGGGCTTTTTGCCTCTGAAATCTGATTTGCTGCGGTAAGAGTAAAACCTTGAGTAAGCCCCAGGTACAGATCTGACTCTGAGTTGTCCTGCTACTGATCTGCCTCCATAATCCCTTGTAGATGTGGCCCATGTACCCAAGCCATAGCTTTGTACCTCCAAAAGGGCCAGAAGCTGCTTTGGGCACATGTACTGCTGTCTGATTCCCTGAATGTGAGCTCTCATCCCTGGAAATGGCAGCTGACTGCCAGGATGCTCAAGAGTCCTGGGGATGTATGGAGGTAAGAAGCACTCAGGACTCCTATCTTATCTTGTTTGTACCGTGTCTAGTGAGTGGCTGCTAATGCTGGTTTCTCCTGACTAAAACTGCTTGTGAATAAGCCCTTTCCGGGGATCTGGGGGAAGATTGGGATTTGCACAGTGTTGTTCAGCTCCAGTCACGTCCATGTTCAGCAGCAGCAGTTTGGACTTGATTTCTGTGGAGTAAATATATAGATACAGACATTATCTATGTATTTATAGAGTTAATACTGCTCACTTTTAAAATACCACTGGGCAGGTGTGTCATCCGTACCAGCGCCAGATGGACAAATGGCTTATTGACACCAGAACATGAGTGTCATCTGGATGGCTTAACAGGCAGCACGGGGTACAATTAGGACACACTCCTGTGCTGCTTGGAGCCACAGGTCAGTTTCTAAGGCTTGTCTCTGCTGACAGGGCTTGATCCCCACTCGCCTCTGGGCTGAAGGCCAGCATCTCCTCATTGTTGTCTGTGGAATCAAGGAGGTGAAGAGCAGTTAAAGAGCTCAGGACCCCTTTGGGAAGCAGTGTGAGGGGAAATCATGGCCTCTGATCCCTGTTAGATTCAGCGTCTCTGCTCTGCCTGATGATGCTTGATAACTTTTGGTCAGTTCAGAGCCAGTATGGGTTTGATCCCCTGAGCATTTGTTGTAGTTTAATGCAAAAACATGAAAGAAAGGGCTGGTGATGAGCAGGAGGGATGAAATGTGTGTGCAGTGATGGCAGGGAAGTCCCTCCCCAGTCACTCACAGCCTGGGTGACCCTGTGAGGAGCAAGGCAGTGCTGCTGCTGGAAGATTTATTCTGTGTGCGATGACAAGGGGGCATGTTTTCTTCTGCCTTTGATTCATGGGACTGCCTATGACCTAAGAGCAATCATTCATCAATTATTTTTATAGAAGCATTTTGTGTGATGTTTGATTTGGGTTTGTTGCTTTCAGAGAGTAATTTTGCACTCTAAAGGTACCCATGTGCCCTTTTCCCTTCCTCATTTCCAGGGTCCAGAGGAATAAAGGTGAGGGATCACTCACAACCCCAGGTGTGGAGTCCAGGAGTTTGGGAAATCCTTCCTTAACTGGGGAGCAGTTGTGACTGCAGAGCTTCATCAGGAACTCCCCTGGCAACTCCATTAGGACAGTGTCAGGACCACAAGAAGGGACCCTACGTTTACCCAGGGCTGTGGCTGCTGCTGAAGGTCAAGGAACCATTCCTTGTTCTGCCTTGTGGTGGCAGGCTGCTAGACCATATGTAAATGAGACTGTGAAGGTGTTCCAGTGTGTAAGTCCAAATTGGGCAAGCTTAAATTCCTCATTCTCCTGCCTTTGAGGTCCCTACACAATTCCTTATGATCTTTACTGGAGATGCTCTCTTGGCCATTCTGCTGTAGCATCGTGCAGTCCCATCTGTAGGTTACAGGTAACTATGTAAAAGGATTCTTCTTCCCTCTGCCTGTATGAAACCTGCTCATTTTAAACTCTATTTTCCTCATCTGGAATCTTTTCCCCTTTTACCTGACATCACTAGTTCTTGCATTAATAAGAAAGACAAGCCTAGAATCCACTGATCCCAGCTGAGATTTTGGCTTCAAAGTATTAAGAGATGATCCAGACCCCTCAAGATCAGTGTTTTGTTGAGCAAGCTCCCCAGCCTAATCCAGGAAAGGTGCAGTGTAATCTTTCTCTGAGGTTGAAAGGAGAAAGTATTAATTTCATGCAGAAAAGATTGTATCTCTGACTGACATAGGAATAGAAAATAAATAGCTATTAAATTACATTTGGCTGTCTCAATCTAATAAAGCATCTTCTGGATCAATAGCTGAGGCACATAGCAAGCTTCCCCTCTTCTCATTTGAGATGCAAGAAAGAGGTTTTTACATTACCATAATGAAGAATACTTTAAGTCTTCACAGGAAAAAGGCAGAAGTAAAGGGGAAAGAACCCCAAACCCCTTACTTTATGCCTTAAGCAAGTGTCATTTTTCATTTGAAACGTGTAATTTAGGGATATTGGGAAATGTTTTATATTAATGACTGTCTTATCTGTCAGGGTTGCTGAGCTGTCTGACAAACCCTAACCTAGAGTGTGTGACACGAGATGTGGAGTGCAGGAAGAGATGGGAAGGGCAAGACAAGGCTTTCACCCACTTTGTTCTCCTAATTAAAGCTCACTGGGGAAGGGTATTTAGAAGGTGATGGAGCTGTTCCCCACTGAAAATGCAGTTTCATCAAAACAAAAGGAGATCTGCCTGTGCTGGCTGCTGCTGAGCCGCAGACAGGACGTGAGCAGGGAGAAACTGCAGCCACCTGCAGAATAAAGCAGGACTAAGGGATGTGTTACCAGCCTTTCCAGTACTGCAAGCCAGTGAAGTCTATCAACCCGTGTAGTACATACAGAGATTATGGTCTCAGGAGCAGACTAGAGAGGATACATAGCAGTATACATGGTTTGGGTTGGAAAAGCCCTTAAGATCATCCAGTTCCAACCCCCTTGATAAGGTGATAGAGGATGAGGTTATCCCTGAGGACAGGAGGCATCGGGGGGTCGCTGTCACTCTGGGAAAGCAATTCAAGTGGCAGATGTATTTTTCCTTGGAATCAGGTTCTGTGTAATATATTAATTAATGCAGCACGATGGAATGCGGAGTACGGTTACAACGTGTGTCCAGAGCAGCAAGCTGGGAAGGGATACAAACAGTACAGAGGACTGAATCACAATTCAAAATGATCTTGATAAGTGGGAGAAGAAATGATCTGAAGCCAACAGCAAAAGACTCCCTGAAGGGAAGTGTAACAATGAACTAAGAAAGGTGAAACCAAACCCAAGGAATCGATATCCAGTGCAGAAACTCTGAAACCAGGGTGAACTCCCCCAGACTCAAGGTGTTTTGGGTTGGAAATGAAGTCATTTCTGTGCAATGTATTGGTACAAGGGTCCTGCTTGAGATGGAGCTGAGAATGAAGGCCGTGTGGTTGGGTTTTGTCCCCTGATAACTGTTGGCTCTGGCAGCTGAGTTGTGTTGGAGGGAAGGGGAAGCTCTCATTTGACGGGAAGGTGGAAGTGTCCCCTCATGAGAGGGCTGCAGTGGGAGCTCATCCCTTCATTATCAGAGGGTCAAGCAGAAAACAGGCAAGCGAGGAAAGGGAAGGAGACTTTGCAAATGGCTTTGCCATGTGTTAATGGAAGTCAGGACGTGCTTCATAGGAACCAGGGGGTGAAGCTCAATGCGAACCTCAAGCTGCCTTGGCTCTGATTTGTGTAACACAAATCCCCAGCCAGCACAAGCTGCGTGTACAGCTCACACAACGCTTCCTGGAGTGCAGAAGATGCGTTTTCATTCACCCTCATTTAATTGATTCTCATTTTGGTTTTGGGAAGCATTCATTTGCAGACCATCTTTTTTGAACAGGGAACACCTTATAGCAGCCTTCTAATACCTAAAAGGGCGATAAACCTGGAGAGGGGCTTTGGCCAAGGGCCTGTAGGGGCAGGCCAAGGGGAATGGCTTTAACCTGCCCGAGGGGAGACTGAGCTGAGCTCTTAGGCAGAAGCTCTTCCCTGGGAGGGTGCTGAGGCGCTGGCACAGGGTGCCCAGAGAAGCTGTGGCTGCCCCATCCCTGGCAGTGTTCAAGGCCAGGTTGGACACAGGGGCTTGGAGCAAGCTGCTCTATGGAAGGTGTCCCTGCCCGTGGCAGGGGTTGGAGCTGGAGGAGCTTTAAGGTCCCTTCCAACCCAAACAAGACTGATTCTATGGGCTCTGTCAAACAAGCATTTCCAGTCTGTGCTGGGATCCTGCCAGCATCATCCCTCTGTTTTGCCATCAGATCGGTCCTTATTCTTGTGAGCATTCACCTCACTCTCCACCCTTTCTCATTTACTGTTTGACTTCGTATTTGCTGTTGGTTACAGTTCTGTCTCTCGGCTTTAAGAGAGTTAAATTTGTTATGCTGAAGTTTTGGTAGGGCCAGTAACAGGTGGCTTAGGAGTGTTACAGACACAGGAAAAGGCATATGTGCAAATACAATAGCAGCTCATTGTCCAGCCCAAATCTAAAATGTGGTGTTCATTGTTATGTATCAACCAGTGGATATTTTATTGAGTGTTCTGTGGGACCTGTGGCTACCGGATAACTGCTTGGATTGAGAAGGAACCTGGTAGGATCTCACCTAACAAAAAAAAGCACCAGGATTATGCCCCAAATAAGATGATCAGAAAACACATGGCAAAGGTTCCTGAGCATGAGGCTTCATGACTGCTGAGCTCAGGGAGAGTCAAGCTGGGAGACCTTGGCTCCTTAGGGCCCAACCTGCAGACCCATCATCTCCTTTGGGCCAGAGCTGTGAGTTCAGGGAGGTGCTTAGGTGGAAAACCATCTCAGAAGAGATGCTGTCCATGCAGCAAGGGTTTAGCTGCCGTGGAGCTTCCTCCTTTCTTACACGGATAGGTGTGAAGCAGATGCTTTGAAAGCCTTCAGAGACAAAGCCTGTCAGTCTAAAGCTTTCTAAAGCTTCAATAGTGTGGACTTCTTGGTGCTTCAGAGCAGCAAAACAGGGATTGCTTTAAACTCGGAGTGAGTTTTCTCCCCCCAACACCCATGTCAATGGAGCAGGATCGTTCTGCCTGTGCTATGGGGTGAGGTGTGGGTGCCGAGATCAGCCCATCCACGCACGCCTTGCTGAGCCAGAGGTGTGCACTGTACACGCTGCGGGAGGTTATGAATGTGGCTTTCAAGTTTCTTGCCCCCACAGAGCTTTGCCTCGGGCCTTTCCTGGCAGCGAGCTGACAGGGCTCTTTCGAAGCACTTTGGTCCTCATTCTCCCTCTGCCAGGATCTTTGTGTGGGTGAGAACGGGAGGAACCGAAGCCAAGGCTTTTCACAAGGAGTGTTTGCAACAGAACCTGTGGTTTTGCATGGGCGGGGATTTGAGCTGGAGGCAGCAGCAGGAAGCTTTATCTGATTTTCCCGATACCTGGACCATGGTACTATGCAAGGTGCCAGTTTCCAGTGTAACGAGATCCCATGTGGGTTAAATGGCTTTGGAGCCAGTTCTATTCCCATTCCTGGTGCAATGAACGCGTGGCTCAGCAATGTCTGAAATCCACCCCTGCAAGAGGAGAACTGTGTTTCCTCGGGGAAGTGAACACAGGCACCGCAAGCAGCTGCTTTCTTTTCTTGTTAAGCCATTTGCCAAGGCCGGCAGTCACCAGGATCATCAATTCCGTCCATTCCCAGCCTCCACGGATCCTCTGGCTTTTGGCAAGCCATGAAACCAGAATTCACAGGCTGATGGGCCCTTTTGCCTGCGGTGTCTCTCAGTGTTGTCTCTTCACATGGACACAAATGACTCCTCCAGCACGTGAAGCTGTCCTGGGGCCTCTGCCTGACCCTGCTGCTTCTATTCTGAGTCCAGCATCCAGAGAGGAAACTCGCACCCATCCTCTGCACCAGCACAGCCAACTGCTTGAGGAGGGTGCAGTTCTGACCCCCTGTGCTATTCCTGCTTCTCTGTGCTTTAACCTCGCCTATTGCTGGATACGCAGTGACCCGTTCTCAGCCTTGAGGTCTTTGTTCACCTCTCCTCATTTCTCCAGCCCTTGCACTGATGCTTGGCTTCGGCTCTATTGGCAGCAACCAACCTGATGCAACCTTCAGAGTCCTGCCCAGCTGATGGAGGAGGAGGAGAAGCCTTCTGCCTGTGCCACTTCAGCTCTTCACTGCCTTTAGGGTGCAGCTCTGGCCCCCAACCCTGCGGAGATGAGGGTAACTCCTATGGCAGGATCTGCTCCCATGGCTGTGGCTTTGGTGGGGGAGCACTGTAAAGCATGAAACCACACTTGTGAAACCAGCCCAGGGCAGAAGTCACATGCACGAGGGAGACGTTGCAAGTTGGTGCTTGCAGCTCATAAGAGGCAGTGCGGAGGTGCAGGCTCCTTGCCGTGGCTGAGCCCTGCCTGGTTAGCCCCTGGTGCCCAGGAGATGCAGAGAGGAGACTGACCCAGAGCACAGGCTGGGGCTGTGGGGCTGGAGACCCTGCAGGGGGCAGAGGGGAATGGCAGCAGATAAAGGACAGTGAGGAGGAGGAGGAGGGAGCTGAGCTCGCTCCCCGGCAGCAAGAGCTGAGCTGGATCAGGTAAGCCTGCACCGGTTGCTCTGGAAGTGGAGCAGGACTTGCTGAATGCTTCTCTGCTGTTTAGCTGGGGCTTGGAGGGGTCCTATAAAGGAGACCCGTGGCCTGAAGGAGGCAAAGTCACCAGAGATGTTGGCATTGCATAAAGGATAACAAGAGGTATAGAAATAGAGTGCAGGAGGTGAGAGGATGCCTCTCGTGTTAGCACAGGGGAGGATGTGGGGCAGACCCATTTCCACACATGGGTGGTTGTTCTGCAGCGCAAGGCCAACCGAGGTCTGTGCTGCACGAAGAGGTGAAAGCAAAGCTGCTTTTCCTGATGAGCTTGTCCTGGCTGGGGAAGGCTGCTCCCCTCCTGTGGGCTGGGGAGGGCTGAGCCCTGTCCCTGCTGCATCCTTCAGGCTGAGCCCTGATCCTGCTCTTGCTTCCTGGGACTGTCTTCAGAGACTCAACAACACTTCCAATGTCTAAGCCAGAGCACCTTGATTCATCTCGAAGGTAACTTGACAGCAGCACGACGTGGTAGGTTTAATTAGTTTTCCCTTTGTCTCCCTTGTTTTTTCACTCCCTTCTTTGCTGCTCTGTATGGGGATTTCTGCCCTGTTTTGCATTTTCCCTTCCAATTGATGCTAACCTGAGGGGATTGAAGGCAAAAAGGGGAAAGGAGTGGGAAAATTCACTGAATCCCCCTTTTGATGCTCTGTAACGTGGCTGCCTATGCTCTGCAAGGGAAATCTCACCTCTACGGTGTAGAATGAGAGCTGTGCCCATCCTGTGTGCACACAGTCACTCCGCACACCCCTTGTGCGATGTGCACCTTGGTTGATTCCTATAAGTGTGTTTGCAGCCCTCTGCAGGGTTTTTCTCCCATCAGAGGGACCTTTTGTGTTGTCAACCTGCTCTGGTGGAAGGTGTCCCTGCCCATGGCAAGGGCTTGGAACTGGATGGGCTTTAAGGTCGCTTCCAACCCAAACCATTCCATGGTTCCCTTGCCTCTATTTCCCTTCTGACAGTCCTTAAACCAGTGCCTATCCTGATTTAAGCCAACCAAGACAAGCAGCAGCCAAAACGAAAGCAATCCCCTTTGGAAGGAGAGTGCAAGAGCATTGCAAGGGACCTTTGCACCAAGAGACAGCAGCAAGCTCCTGGTGCTAAAGTAAGGGCGAGCGGAGGTTGAAATGTAAATGCTAGTTTTGGAGAGCCATGGGAATTGGGTAATTGAAGAATAAACCTCAGAGTCCTCCAAGCATTTGCCTTAATAACCACCCACAGGTGGTTGTTAAAGGAGGTTCAAGGCTGTGTCAGCAGCGTTTGCCTGGAAAGCCCACGGGCACCGTGCCTGCTGCGTGTGAACATCAGCTCCTGACACTGCCCGTGGTGGAGAGGAGGGGGGAAAGGAAAGCAGAGACCTGCGAGGGCTTTGCTGCTGCTGGGTGAGGGCTCCTGCTTGCCTCTGCCTTCAGTGGGTGCGTTTGTCTTCCTGGTCTGCACTGTGTCCTGTGTGTGGTGGGGAATCACCCTCCAGTGTCCGTGCTTGGGGCATTTACACTGGCTCTGCTTCTTCTGAAAGTGCCTGCCGAAAGCAAGAGCAAAAAGCCTCTTGGCTTCATCATTATGCCCCATCCCTGGCAGTGCTCAAGGCCAGATTGGACACACGGGCTTGGAGCAAGCTGCCCTAGTGGAAGGGGTCCCTGCCTGTGGCAGGGGTTGGAACTGGATCAGCTTTAAGGTGCCTTCCAACACAAACCAGTCTGGGACTCTGTGATTCACAAGGAGAAATCCTGCCTATTCCTTGGCTGTTTACAAAATAGGAATATGTAAGGATGTTGGGATAACAAGCCACATTTAAGGATAACTTTTCTACCCATTACCATAAAGATAATTGCAGCAAAAGGTGAGGCTGTGCATACTGCACTCATGGCTGGCCAACACCTACCTGGTGATAACATCCCGTGGGAGCGGTGTCCAAAGAGCAGCATACACCCAAGCGGTGTGTGCTGTTACCCTTTCCCTGCTGTCTCTGCAAGGTCTGGGATGTTCTTTTTCCCTTTTCCAGGGCTGGAAGATGCCTCGTTGCCCATGGAAAGCAGGATCTCAAGGAAGCTGTCAGTGGGAGGGCGAATGAGGATTTCACAATCTGCTCCCCAGCCAGGAGAACAAGCCACCTGCCCTGGGGCTGACGCCGTGTTTCTTAGCCGTGGAAGATAAGGCAGACACACAAAGTGCTGGATTTGTGACAGTGCAGCCCCGTCCCCACAGGAGAGGCACCTTCAGCATGGCCCATACAAGCCAAACTGGTGGAACTGAGAAAAACGGGTCACTGCCCTCCATCCTCTACTGCAAGAGTGATTTAAAGGAAGGATCCCTGCAATGGGTGAAAGGTAAGTGAGGAACTCGAGATGCAGGAATGGATGGACATCCACCTATAGAAACCTGGGATCCTGGAAGCCCTCTTCCCTAGAAACCTTTGGGAAACATCACTTGTGCTTTCCAAGTGGCTCCTTTTGCCCATAGCAATTTGCTCTTTCCCTGCAGCACTGCTTCCAAAGCCTCCTGAGGTGCTGTGCAGTGGCAGGAGGCAGCTCTGTGAATGCCTGTTCTCGCAGACACCTCCCTGCACCATTCAGGGCACCCTTTCTGCTTGCTGGGTGCATGGCACCTCCTTAGTGCCCAGGTTTTGCAGGGGTGAAGCAGCTTTTGTCTCTCCAGCAGAGACCAAGGAGCTGAACCCCTCTTCAGAACTGGGGTATCTCAGTTTGGCACCCAACTTGCTAGACTTTTGTGCTGAGCATCCTGACCAAAGGAGGACAGGACATTCAAGCCCAAGGCTGAAGCCATTTGTTTTTATTCTTGCTTTATACTCACTGCCTCCACTGCTCGGATGAAATAAACCTCAGCAGGCACACAGGACCTTGTTATCCTGGAGGTGTCAGATGCATCTGCCCTTCTCATCTTGACTCGATGCAGTCACACCCCCATTGTAATGTAATTGCCTTGTTTCACCTGGCATCTCCTGTTCCTGAGCAGTGAAGAAAGGATGAGAATGAAGGACGTGAGAGAGAGAAAGGAAAGGCGAGCGCACACTGTGTTTTAGCCAGCGCAGCATCAGGGAGAGCAGCAGGAGCAGCCCCAGGGGACACATTGCAGATCTGACCCCGGATCTGCAAAGGGGAAGTGAAGCTGGGTGAAACGTCACTGAAACAGGAGCTCGGCTGAGCAAGCACTTCCTTAGCCCTCATCCCTTCCTCTTGGTGCAGCACCGCTCGTGTTAACTCTGTGTGCCAGATGGGATGCCCGGAGATCACAGCCCTCCCGTGCTGCTCCGAGGTGGCTGTGCCTCAGCTCCCAGCAACCTGCTCTTCAAATCTAGGACGGGTTGTCCTCACTCATCCCAGGCTCCTGACTGCACCCTGGGTCTCTAGAGAACATCCCTGATCTCAGCCCGAGCTGAGACCAGAGCTGAGAGCCTTGAGCAGAGCCAGGCTGCCCAGGAGCACTGCTGGGGCAGGGAGCTGGATGTTAGAGGGAGCTCAGTGTGAGCCACATCCCTGCCAGTGTGATGGTTGAGAAGCACTTTGGTTGCTCAGGCTTGTGATGGGTGGGGTGGGCAGGCAATGGGGGACCTCTCTAAGAGGTAGGGAGCTCAGAACACCCAGCAGCTTTTGTCCATTGTGCTTTCAGTTAGGGATCAGTGAGGCAAGGTGTTACCCTGCTGATGATCAGAGTTATCTCCTCGCTCCTTGAATGGGTTCGAGTTGTCCCCCCTTTCTGTAGGCTGTTTCTTTACAGGGGACATGAGGCTTCTTCCAAAGCTCCTTGTGATGTTCTTAGAGATGACCAAGGGAGATTCTGGGTCAGGGTGGTCTGAATGTCTCAGTCTTCTCTTTGTCTTGTGCTGGGAGCAAAACCCATGCCAGAGCTATGCTCATGCCTCCTTTGGGCTCTTGCAGAACCCCTCAATGGGCAGGTGCTCATGGTGCTCAGCATGGACAACAGCTGCTCAGCCACCTCCTTTGATATGGAGCTTTGTGCAGAGAAACTCCAGTCCCTTGGGGTTCAGGTAAGCTCCTCATGTGTTATCCCCCTGGGAACCCTGTAGGAGTGAGCACAAGTGGGATCAGCATCATTTGCATCTGCACCCACATCACAGACAGCTCTGCTTTAGTTCTTGTTCTGACAGTCACTTGTTTCAATTCCACTTCAGTCTGTTCCCATGGGCTGCTAATCAGCTGTAATCTTGGTTAAACTACCATGAAGAAACCCATTCAACACAGTGAGCTGCTTGAAAGTCACTCTGAGGGGCTGGAGCATCCCTGGGATGATCTATCCTTTGCCATGAAAAGCTGGTTTCTCTTGTGACCTTCCCTGCACTTTCCAGGGAGGTAATACTGCAAATGAAGCAAGAACACAAGGTTTTGGTCTGTGGTAGCTGTATGGGTGAGATTGGAGGTGTGCTCTGGGACACAGTTTGAGCTGCAGTGAAGCCTGGCCCATAATGACTGCCCAGGCTAGGATTTGATGGGATTTGGAGCCCAAAACTATGGTGTGGGTCCAGTTTTCTGCTTGCTCCCTGAGCAGGTGGCGGCGGAACAGTGGAGAAGGTTGATCCAGGATGCTGTTCTGAAGCCTGAAGTGAGACGGTACATGTTCTACAACTCCAGGGCATTCCAGATAGCCATTGCTGTGGTAAGTAGAAGGGGGGGGATCTCAAGGCCTGCAGCTGGGGTTCTTGTGCCCAAGGAAGGAGAGAAGCCTAGGTGGAGAGGAGGTGCTGGTTTTCACACTATAATGGACAGATTTCCTGTGGATGGAGGTTAAGGCACCATCTCCAACCCTTTGCTGGTAGTCTCCCCAAAGGATGGCTGAATAACCAGCCTATACCGAGGTAGTTGTACCTACAACAGGCTGTTTTTTAACTTGATCTTAAACATCTGTAGAGATTCTGGTCCTGATGCTAATTCAAACCAAAGGACCAGTAAACCTTTTGATTCCTGAGGGGTTTGTCTAGTCTTCTTCTGGTGAGAAAAGCTCCTCCAGAGACCCCAGCCATTAGCACCTACCAGAAGGCTGATACATTGCAGCGTGCTGATAATGTGATAAAGTCTGACTCCTTTGTTTAGCTGCATTGATTTTTTGGGATAGCCATTATAAATGTCTTCTCCTCCTTCCCCTAATATTGCAGGAACTGGTGCTCAGTGTTTTGGTGGGTTTAGTACCCATTTAGTGTAAATACATTACATTAGTGCAGGATGATGCTGTAACATGGTGATGCTGTGACATTCTGTGCTCTGTACGTCGTATTTGCTTCTAGGCAATCTCCTGCCCAAATACATGTTCTCTGAAGTAAAGGCCAATTGAGTTCAATTCTGCCTGCCTTTGTGCAAAGGGCAGGTTTGTCAGTCCTTAACATAGTCCTTGACCCCAGTGTCAGCATCACCATTTACTGTGATCGAGTAGTGTCTGCACCTCCTAGAGTGTTTTGACACAGGAGCTTTCTAAATGAAAGGACTGTTAGATGTATTATCAATATGCCTTGGTGAGTGTGTTTCTTATCTGAATGGAATAACTCAGGTGAAATCCTTCCTAGGTATGAATCATCCTTAACAATTCACTCTGTGATGACTGGTAATTCTTTATAATAAACTAGGGCGCAGAGTCCTTCTAGTCCTTTCTTTTCTCTATTAATGGAAAAAAAGCCCACAACTCTGTCCTTTTCACCCTCTGAAGATCTCATGTGACAATTTATGGCAAGTTATTGCCCTATGAGAAGGGACTGGTGGATTTTTCTTCTTCCCGTGAGGAGGGAAGAGAACCTTAGAGGAGGCCATGGAGATGCTGCGAGGGCTGGAGCAGCTCTGCTCTGGAGCCAGGCTGAGAGAGCTGGGCTGGGGCAGCCTGGAGAAGAGAAGGCTCCTGAAGGGGAGACCTGAGAGCAGCTCCAGTGCCTAAAGGGGCTGCAGGAAAGCTGGAGAGGGGCTTGGGACAAGGGATGTAGGGACAGGCCAAGGGGAATGGCTTTAACCTGCCCAAGGGGAGACTGAGCTGAGCTCTTAGGCAGAAGCTCTTCCCTGTGAGGGTGCTGAGGTGCTGGCACAGGGTGCCCAGAGAAGCTGTGGCTGCCCCATCCCTGGCAGTGTTCAAGGCCAGGTTGGACACAGGGGCTTGGAGCAAGCTGCTCTAGTGGAAGGGGTCCCTGCCCGTGGCAGGGGTTGGAGCTGAAGGAGCTTTAAGGTCCCTTCCAACCCAAACCATTCCATGGTTCTGTGACTTTTCTCATTCACGGTTCATGTCTGTTTCTCTGGGTTTTCACAGGTTTTCTACATGTCTCTCTGGACAAACATTTACACCACAGTCCAGCTGTGCTCCTTCGGACGCTACTGGGAGGCCAGCGTGCTGGTGACCCTGGCTGCTGTAGCAGTCACTGTGGTTGTGATCCTGGTTATTGACCATCACCAGAGGAAGGTGAGAGGGTGCTGGTTATGTGCAAGCACAGGGAGCAGGGCTTACTCCCACCAGAGTGCTGGGACACGGGTTGTCAGCTAGATACGTACTAAGAGCATAGTTATGTGGGGAAGGAAGGCACGACTTTACAGCAGACTCGGAGATCAGGTTTTGCAGCCACGATAGGTGTTGTAATACCTAAACGTAGGTGTGGGAGCTGGGCAGGATGGCCTAAATCACTCCTTCTTGGAGATAAAGCAGCTGTTGCAGGGCATGGTTCATGCTCCCACGGCTGGTGGGAAGCCACGGGAGCTCACCAGCAGATCTGGCTCCTGCCCTGCTTCTCGTGGTGGCTCTTGGCTTCCTGTTGCCGTTAAGAGCTTCATTCACTTGTGCTGCTGGAGCCACGGGGTCGTGGTCCAGACCCCAGCACACTGCCCTGCAGCGGGTCTAGAACAAACAGGCAGCTCCTAACCCATAGGAGATGCAATAGTCATTAACCCAAGGTAGACTGGGCAGCAGAAGGAAAAGAGGAGATGCTGCTAGCACGAGAGGCAACCAGCCTGAGCATCTACTGCTTGGTCAGTGTCAATGTTTGTTCATAGGAATCACAGGGGTATGGAGATTTCTAAGGAGTGAGCTGAAGAATAATATTGGGAAGGCTTCATCCAAAATCCAGAGGGGTGTCTGCACTGATCTGAATGGATTTTGGAGCAAGCCTCTAATGACAGCTCTGCAATGACTCCTCTAAGGGGAAACCTGGCAAACGTGTGAGTGCACAGAGGTGCAGGACAGGAGTCCTTTATTTGGGCACTGCTGTGGCATCAAGTGAGAACACGGTTCTGGAGGTCTGGCCCAACTTCTGCTGCAGAGCATGTTAACTTCTCTTGCATTCTTTAACAGATAAATGTGAACACAGACGTGAGGCTGGCCGCTGTCAATGAAGTCTTTATCAAACACAGTTTAATTCTGGGCATTACAGATGTCCTGGATGGGCCACACAGCATCCTACAAGTATCCTTTCTGTAGGGAATTGTTCGTGTCCCTGCTGGGGAGCTGATGATATGGAGCTATTTGTTCATATTATGGTCCATGAGGATTTCCAGGGTGTGGGATGTCTAGGATTTGTTCTCCCATTGGATGGCATGAGAAATTGGGGTTTTGTGTTCTATAAATGGGGATTAAGCTATGCCCAGAGGTAATTGAGAATAATACGATTAAAAGATTGAAGTGGGATTAGTCCTTTGGGCAAGACAATTATTCCTGAAAGTGTATTATACTCACATGACAGTGATGATTCTTAAGATGAGCAGAGTGACAGCAGTGTGCCGATGGCAAAAAAACCCCAACAACAAGAAACCAACACAGAGCAAACTGAAGTCTCCATCCCTGGGCTCATTTGGTGCTTTTCAGAGATACCTTTTCTGCACTAGAAAAAGGCTTAGGGGAAAGAAGTGTTTCAAGATAGCATGGAAGTGTTAAAGGAAGGTGAGAGATGCTGGTGGACTTCACACCACCCCGTGTATACAGAGAGGCATGAATGGAGGGGGGACCAGGGCTGAAACACATGATCAGAAATGGGAACAGGGAATGCTGCAGGAGGGCTGGTGGGAGTGAACTTGTGCAGAATAGGGAGGGAACAAGAAAAGAACCTGAATTTCATGGTTTTTATTGACCACCATAGTTGTACGCTGTAAGTGAGGTCTAATCCAATGAACCTTCACCTACCAGTCCCAGAGCTGCCTGAAAGCAGAAAACAGCCCAGGATTCAGTTGATTTTGATAAAAATAAATGGGATTAACCCCTAGAACGAAAGGAAAGAAATCAGGAAGGGGGTTAGGGGAGCTAAGTCAACATGATGCTATATTTAGATGTAAGGCCTCTGAGATGAGTGATGGGCAATGCCCTGGTTTATCCCAGTGTCAGCACTAGGCTGCAGAAGGTGTGTGAGGACTGGCTGCCATGTGGGGCAATGTTCCCCCTTCTCTGCCCTTCCCCTTTAGCTTAGCTTAAAATTGGCCCAGTTGATGTTATGTGGCTCCTGGGTGTATCCTGGGCATCCCACAAGCACCAGCTGCCTCGGTTCCATCCATACCATGATCCGCAGGGAGGGCTGCAGAGGGGGAAGCATGGAAAGACTCCTTCCTTAACCAACCCATCCCAGCTGTGGTTTGTGCACTTCTGCCCGGAGCGCTGCCTCCAGTCCTTATCAGCCCACATCATGGACCTGCAGAGGACCCGGGAGGTAAATGATGCTCGAGCTCTCGTGGTGACCTGTGCAGGGCACTCTGATGCCTCAGCTTGGGTGGGATGGAGCTGGGCAAAGCGAACCAAGTGTCTGAGTGTCCTCCTGGGCATCCCCTGCTGTGAAGTGGGAGCTGGGCAGACTGGGAGCTGAATCAGATGCATTTGTTGGTGCTCAGTTCAGCAGGAATTTGTTTAGGTGCTGTGTGTGTCTGGGTAATGAACTGTGTGACTTTAATGAAGGAAAGGCATCAAGAATCAAGGGCAAATCTGGAAATCACAACTTGAAATAAGTAATGCCTTGAGCTGTCCTCCTGAAATGAATGAGATAGCCTGAGGAGTAAGCTCTGGGTTTACTGTATGAAAATGATGTCCTCTTGGCCTTCAAGGACTGTTTCCTCCATTTGGTTGTATAAATACACAAACCCCGTGTTCTCCTGCACTGGAAGTTTGTGGGATGAGAGGTGAAGGGGGCACAACAGCCTGGGAATCTCAAGGCGGCTCATCCATCACCGTGGATGGCTGCAGATGCAGGTTGGAGGTGGGCAATCACACACCACGTCATGAATTGGCTGATATAACTCATCTGGATTTTAAAGACTATTTTAAAGACAGGTTTTTCCATGCCAGGCTGTGACCATTGTGCTGGGAGAAGTCACGGAAGAGGCAGCTGATGGCAGCAGGGATGTGGGATGAAGGCGCTCAGCTCCAAGCGCTGGCCATGGTCCTTGGGCAGTGCTGCTGTGTTTTACTCTTGGGGTAACTCCTAGGAGTTAAGAGCATGCAGGAGCAAATCAAGTCTGTCCTCAAGGCACCGCTGCCTTCCAGGCTCTGGAGGCCCCCAAAATCTGTTTCTCTTCCAGCCGGCCCTGCGGCACAGCCTGGATGAGCTCTGTGTGGTTATGGAAGCAGTGGTTTCCCCTGACCTGGGCACGGAGGAGGAGGCTTCGCGTGAGGAGTCCCCTCTGTTATCCAGTGGGGTGAACCTAAATAAGGAGCCTGTGACATGCAATGAGCTGCTCCACCTCGTTCCTGAAGGCCCACCAGAGGTAAGAGCCAATATCTCACCCCAAGGAGCAAAGGTACCAGATCGCATCTCCAGACACCTTTGATTCCAAACCCCATCCCAGCAGCCCCTGGCCATGGAGGACACCTCCTTTATCACTGGAAGCTTGGATGTCCATACACACTGCCTCCAGCCCTAACAGGGCTGAGTAGTTAATGAGTACTGAGCAGCTAGTGCTTAATCCTTAAGGAATTAAAGGATTGGGCTTTGCCTTGCTGGTGGCCAGGGGTCCCTGTTGGGAAGGCAGGCGTCTGTGCAGAGACCCAGCGTCTTTGTTCAGGCTGGGGACGAGGCCTGGATGTGCCCAGCCTTTGTCTCCTCTATGAATGTGCTTTCAAAGACTTGTGCCATGCTGAGCAGCAAACGTGGCCTCATTCCTGCTCAGCAAGAAGCTTCAAATGGGATGATTTTGATTCATTTCACATTTTTCCACTCACTGTTACTAAGTGAATTTGGTGCAGGTGACATCCCTGCAGGTTGAAGCTCTAGAGGCAAAACAAGGCAATCGGAGGCAAGGACAGAGCAGGCAGGTCCCCAAGCAGTCTGGCTGCTTGGCCACCCACTGTTGGGGTCATGTCACACCCCCATGGGGACAGTGTGCCAGCGCTGCTGCCCAGACAGGGATCTGGGACAGTTATGTATGCCATTGGCTTCGGTCCTGTTCCTTTCAGAGAAGGACAGTCCTTGAATGAGGGAGCAAATGGCATTCAATGTGTCATTACTTGTCCTCCGACTCCTTTATTGCTTGTTCCAGGTGATGGCCCAGCAGCTCCTGGTCATCTTCAGTGGATGCTATGTCCGGCTCCTGGTGACCGGGCGGCTGCCCCAGGCCATGGCAGGGGGGCACCTGGAGCAGAGCAGCATGCCCTGTCTGTGCCAGTTCATCCAGAGCTCTGTGCTCAACGCCCACCGGAGCTGGTTCGTGGCACGGTGACCGGAGGGGGCTGCAGTATGCAGAAAGGCAAGCTGTCCATACACAGCAGTGTGAAGATGTCATGGAGCAGAGAGAACGGCTGCGATTGCCCATCCTGGACTCAGCTGGATGAACAAGTGGAAGTAGGACTCTAATAAACCATACGAGACATTCGGTGCCCGCTGTGGTCCAGTAGAGCTCAAAGGGCTTCACTTTGGACTACTATTAACAGGGTCACAAGGTGATTGAATTTAGTCATTAATCTCCATCCTGGCCACAACTTGAGTTAATAATTCCTAGAAATGTCTCAAAACTCAGTACCAATGGTACCGTTCCACTTGGATTATGATCAAGGGAAGGCTCTCAAGGGGTGACTGATTGTCTCGGCTCTCACTTCCCACCTTACTCAGGGACCAGGAGTCCTTGGTTTGGTCAGTTCTGCCTCCTTAGTTCCTGGTATGGTCAGGGGTGCTTCACCATCCAGCTCCTTACACAGAGGCCAAAGCCTCACAGGAATTCCTGAGCTCGTGCACTACTACAGCATCCCTCCACTGTGTGCATTCCATCCTGCCACCGAGTATCTACCTCTTGTGTGATGTTGTACCAGAAAGGTTTTGGTACCGAAGGCCAAGCGTCGCTCAAGGCAGCAGCAGGGGACCCAGGAGCACCACCACTGCCCTTCGTACCAGTGCAGCCCCTGCATTTAACACAGCTCAGGGGCCGGTGTGCCCATCCTGCCTGCTGGTCAGAACCTCTGCCAGTGCCAACGGGGCAGCTCCCCTTATTGCAATGAAACGCCCAGCACTTAACTGCAGAGAAGGAGCTCAATTGCTTTGTTCAAAGGAGCTGATTCCTCTCCCCAATACAAACAAGTGCCTGCCCTGATCTTTCCATGTGGGGCCTCTGAAAATCTGGTCTCCTGCTGCAGGCCAATGGCTGTGGTTCTGCTTCACCTTCATAAACACTTGCTTAAGGCACTGGCGAAAGGAGACACCCATTTTCCCCTCACCACATCCCCCCATTAAGGAGCCAGATCCTGTTATTTTAGGGGAAAGGCGGTACTCCAGAGATTTTATAGGACCCCTTATTCATGCAGTTCCTTTTCCTCCCCTTGCACACAGCACATGTGAGCCAAACGGAGTGGCTCAGCCCTACATCTGCCCTGTGGGTGCCCTGGCAGAGGTAGGAGACCACAGGGCATGACTCGAGCATTGTGCTCGTGCCAAGGTGCAGCTCTGGGCATGTTTGCACCAGAGCATCCAGGAGTGACTCAGCTGAGCCAGTCAAAGGTATTGATGGGGCAGATCTGTCCTGAGCTGAGGTTCCTTTATCTGCTGCTCAAAATGATTCCGTTTTGACAATTCTAACACCTGAGCAGCACGGATGGGTGATGCAGGAGCAGCCTGATGCAGGGATGAGGAGCAGAAGGGTCCGGAGGAGCAGCGGCTCTTGGGGGTATCACATGAGTGTTCTGCAAACTTGCAGTGATTTGTGTGTTTAAAATGGGCCAGGAAAAGGCTGGGGAAGGTAGGCAGCAAGGAGAGCAATCCCTCAGTGCCAGCTGGGTGCGTGGTGATGAAGTTTGGTGTTTAGCAGGGTGCTGAAATAAAGAGGAGTGTCACGGTGAGACATAGCTCTGGGGAAGTGGTGCTTTAGGAGAAGGCATTCACCCACCCCTCTGACTGCCCCAGAGTCAGTCTGGCCTCCCTTCCAAAGGCTCATCCTCCCCGCCAGGGACTGGGATGCAGCCACAGCATTTAAAGGCAAAACCCAGCAAGGGAAGAAGGTGAAGCAGATTCTGCCTGTTACAGTCCCTTTGCTCTAAGAGAGACTGTGGATGCTGGAGCACAGGCAGAGAGGGATGGGGACCAGCAGGGAGATGTGATGTGATCCCTGTGACAGAGGAGGAACAGCTGGGGATTGCGCTGGACCTAGGGCAGGTTATGTCCAAAAGTAACAGAGGAAACAGAGAGCTCTGGATTTAACGGGCTAAAAAAGAGTTAGCTACTGTGGCTGGCGTCCTGCCTGTGTTTCAGACCACTCCATCACCAGCCTTTCTTCCCCTTCACACACCAAGGCCACACAACAGCCTCAGTATTTACTGTGCAGAAATCCCCCCAAGACCTCTTGCCTCAAACAAGAGGTTTCCTTACTGCTGGTAACCACTCAAACCATTTTCTGCCCAGCGCAGCAAAGCCGTTCTCTCCTGTCAGCCCTTCCTTCTCTCTTATGTCTGCAGTGGGTTTATTTCTTCACAGCCAGCTTCCTCTTTCCTTCCCTCCCGTAGGCATGTTGCTCCAGTAACACTTAGACACACATGGGGAAACAGGAGGCTCTAGGAATGGAGAAACGCTCTGAGCATTGGTTTTGGGCAGCAGCACTGAGGGCTGAGCCCACTGTGCTGTTATGTGACTTGGGCTTGGCTGGAGGAGCTGCCTTTGGTGCTTTGTGGCTGATGGAGAACCTGGGTTTGAGGTGTTGGGGCTTAAACCTTGTGCTGTGATCTCTAAGCTGAGCTGGAGAAGGTCCCTGCAGTGTGAACTTTGTGTGGAGCAGGGGAAGAAAAGGACATTCCCTCTCCTTTCCTATTTCTGTCTGGGCTCTGCAGGGATGAGAACGTTCTTCCCTACCCAGCCAGACCTTCAAACCTTCTTGTACCACGTCCCATTGTATGCAGGCTGACATACCCCTAGCAGATAGGCATAGGCAGTAGCATTGGCCTTGGTTTCTCCAGGGTCCTTCTGCCATTCCATCTCCAGAGCACTGCTTGCTTTTGTCCTCAGGGTCACTGCAGCCATTTACTCACAAAACGCAGATTTTTGTGCAAAGCCTTGCTGTGGTTTCTGCTTGCTGATTCCATTGATCTTGACGTTAGGTGGATTCTGAAAGCTTCTGCTTTGAAAAGGACAATGTGCTTCCTGCTCCAAACCCAACACTATCTGATTCAGCCAAATCGGACTTTGGTTTTGATGGCCTTGCTATGGGGTTATAAAAGGGTGGTCAGCTGTGGTTGATGGAGAGCAGGTGTTGATTCTGCTGGCACTGAAAGGCAGCAGCCTGGGCCACTGCAGAAGAAAGAGAAGGATCAGTGTATGATACAGAGAGGAGCCCTTGGTGTTGTTCTGCTGTTCCATGTCAGGAGATCTGAGTGAGCTCTGATGCATGGGGCTGGAAACTGTAAAATGCAGCATAGAAACCTCTGGTTGTGCTGGTGCCCTGTCATGCTGCCTGTGGTGGGCGTGAAAGGCAAAGTTGTGAATGGACATGGAGAATGATGTCTGCTCTAAAGCGCAGAGGGCTCCCCATCACATCGTGATTTGTCACTGGAGCCTGCAGGAGCGTGTGTCATAAGATGTGTGGGTGTTAAGAAAGAATTAAGTTCAAGAAAATAACCCCCAAACCCTGAGCATCCCCCTCTACAGCTCATCCCCAAATCCCCTCCCAACCCTGTCTGGAGGACCCCATCTTTCCATTTCGCACAAGAGCTCACCAAGACAAGAGCAATGATTCCACCGCAGCCTTGTGCTTTAACAGGTGGCGAAGGCGTCTGGAGGAGTAAACGGCTCTTTGGAGGCTTTCCTTCCAGTTGTTTGGCTCCCCCTGTCTCCAGACCCGGTGCTCCAGATGGGTGCCATCCTTTGCCAACGCGGAGCTGACGCCTTGGGTTTGCAGATGGAACCCTCTAGATGGTGCTAAGCTAAAGAGAAAAGTCAGTGGCGAGAGGGAGAGGTTGTCCTGTGACACTGCCTCTGCAGGTCTTGCACTGCCTGAGGTCTCCTGGGCTAGGAGAACATCTCTGCTTGCTCTCAGTGATGCACCCAAGCAGTTCTACACTGCTTCCATGGAGCAAACCATGTCTATTTGCAGCAAATACTTCTCAGGCCCTTCTTCCACTTCACATTCCCAGTGCTGGTGGGAGATTCCATAACCACATCATGATTTTAACCCATGCACCTGCCACTGTCCATGCACTACATCAGGCCAGTTGTTTTGTGATGGCAAAATGTCTATCTTAACTATTCTTTCTGCTTCATCCAGTTTTATTGCGAACAACTGCAGCTACTGCATCAGCTGAGTCCTCTCCTATCTCATGCGTCATTACCCAGAATCTTCACCAAATTCAAGCACAAATAACGTATGATTTGTTGATGTGACCAACCCAGAGAGAGAATTCAGGCACAGAATGGCAAGAATCATTGAGGATTAGCTATGAAGGAGAAGTCTGCCACATCAGCAGCTGAACAGATTTTACTTTGGAGTCACAGATGGGCAGTAAATAAACTACTGAAAGAGAGCTATTGTTAGGAGAGCATTTTCAAGAAGAATAGCCACATTCAGGTCTGTTTTTCTTTTGACTAAATATACATAGGGAGAGAACAGCTCTGCTCATCTCGGTAGCATGATACTGATACAATGCTGCTGGGAGGCAACTAAGTTCCTCTCGCTGTGCCTTGTCTGCAGAAGGAAAAGATGCTCATAGCACTGATGGCATTAAGGCACAACTTGCTGCTTCACATAGGGCTGCAGGAGGCAGCTCTTTGGCACAAGCAGCCTTGGTTCAACTGGAGCCAAGGAGTTTTCAGCTCCCATCCAGGTGCCTGACCTAGAGAGCAAGCTGACAAGTGGGTTTTGGTGTCTGTGCCATTCCTGCTGCCCTGATATCACCCTTCCCTCCGTATGGAGAGAGGCTGTTGCAGGTTTTGATTACTCTCCAATCCAGGTTTATTGGCCTGAGCTTTGAACATGGTCTCTACTGACAGAGTGGTGAAAGGCTGCTTTTGTCAAGGTTTCCTTCCAAGAATGGCTCAGGTCTATTCATGAGGAGCCTACAAGCTAGATTAAGAGCTCAGGGACAGGTTCTCTGCTGTTTGAAACCCCAAATCTGGGCTGAGCAGACTAAACAGCTGTCCCCTTTTAAGCAGCAAATTATGGTCCTAAGTGCTCAGCACTTTGCCCTTTATATGAGCCTGTTCCAGGACTTGTTTTCTGCAAAGCACATCACCCAGTGCTCAGGGACATTGGGAAGATGAGGGCAGGTACCTGAGTGCTGGTGTGAGACTTGAGCTTTTCTGAAGATGAGACTCCTCAGGTTCCTGCTTCTCCTTCTCAAGAAGTGCAAACACCTCTTAAAAATGAGTTGTCAACCCTTGGGCTGCAGGCAGCTTATCCAC